GCCTTCCATATTTGACCGTGGCAGCAAATTATTTGTCTGCACAATATTTGCTGGAACACATGTCACAGGTCCATGCACTCCATTTTGCCCACCTTTAGGCAACGCCAATATTTTCATAAATGGAATGTTTAACGCTATTAAATGTTGTTCCAAGCTATTCAAACAAGCCAATTCTGCTGGAACAGGATCAAGTACCAATTTGTTGACTGCACACTCGGCTGGCATTTGACCTCTACTGACCTTGTCATTGCAAGTAAAACAGATCCACAGCCGACCTCTCGCACTATCCAGCAATTGACAAGGCAGTATGCAACCCTCATTACAACGGTGCAGGTATGCTTCACTTATACAGACATCTGCAACTGCAGCTATGTCTTTTCGATTAGTGTAGCACTCCCTTCTGCACGGCAACACCTGATGTCTAAACAGCAATCGACAACAAACACAACACACAAAATCTGGCCCATCTTTAACCTTTTCTAAAAACTGATGCATCACAAATTCCAACTGATTCAAGTTCTCCTTCATTTCCTGTTTCCGCTGTATACTACTGGCTATGACACGCTTCTTATGATCTGGATTTTCACGATATTTCCTAATACTCATGGCTTTTACACTGCGCCTGTGCTCCACATTACCATGATATTTCCTAATACTCATGGCTTTTACACTGCGCCTGTGCTCCACATTACCATGATATTTCCTAATACTCATGGCTTTTACACTGCGCCTGTGCTCCACATTACCATGATATTTCCTAATACTCATGGCTTTTACACTGCGCCTGTGCTCCACATTACCATGATATTTCCTAATACTCATGGCTTTTACATTTTGCCTGTGCTCTACATTACTGTGATATTTCCTGGTACTCATGACTTTTACAGTCTGCCTATGCAACTTATTCATCAAATACTTCCTTTTACTCATTTCCTTTACTAGCTCTCTATGCAGCACATTAACTTTATATTTCCTGATACTTTTTGCCTTAGTTTTCTCCCTAAACAACAAATTTTCCACGTACTTCATCTTCCGCTGAAAATTCCATTTCTTTTTCCAGTATTTGGAACAATAACCAGTAGTACTACACTGCACCCGTTCAGTATCTACAACAGAACCTACATCCAAAATAGAACTCTCAACAACATCGACATCACTAATTCTCTGCCTCTTCCCAGAACCAACTTCCACTGAACATGACGGCCCATTACCTTCACTTGCCAAAACAGTACGCTTCTCACTA